AGGGCAGCAGAATCCCAGTTGGTACTAGCAGCCAGGGTGTTGAACCAGATGTTTTTGGTTTCCTTCATCTTCAGATTACCGAGAGAATCTTCGGCCTCGCCTTGGGCGTCGTAAACGCCGAAATTGTCCTGAAGCTCCTTTACAAGGGCTTTGAAGGAGGATGTCCAGGCCGGCAGCGAGTCGAGATCCGGGTCGAGAATATCAGGGACAAACCACTCTTTGGCTGACCCACTGAGATAGGAGAGAGTGTAGTTCACCTTCCGTTGGTCGGTGAAATACTTTCGACGGTCATTGAAGACCAGGGCGAGATTGACAAAGAACGTCTTGAGTTTTTGGGGATCCGAACCGTCGAATACCTCTGGCTCCTTGACCTTGCTCTTGGATTCAGAGCTGTCAGAAGGACGGCCGAGAGCGGCGAGGACGGTACCAAGGGTCTCAATGGAGCCCTTGAACCCCGAGAGGAGTTCCAACATAGCACGTTGCTCGTTGGGGATGTCAGGAGAGATAGGAGAACGGGGTCCACCAGGTCCACCAGGACCGCCGGGACCGCCGGGACCACCAGGTCCACTGGGGTCACCAGGCTCACCACGTGGTAAACCGCCGGAGTCGTCATCCAGATCGTCATGATTGTTATCGGCGCCCGGATCGTCGGGGTCGACAGGAGGGTCTTGATCATCGTGATCACCAGTGCCCAAATCAAAGTGAGGAGGTGGGTCACGAGGAGATTCAGAAGCCGCACAACGTTGGGGTTGTTTCCCCGTACGGCGGGCTATGGCTTGGAGAATTGGAGAATCAATTCGAGTAGTTGACCGGCCCCGAGCCGGAGCGACCACGGGGGGTTGTCCATGGCGAGGGGTCAGGACTTGGACAGGTTGTCCGTCACCAGTGTACAAGGTGCTGTACTCAAATTGTTGTTCCTCTTCCATGGCTTCAGGAAGAGTCGACGTAGTAGGAACAGTGGCTGGACCGAAACCGCGATTACGGCGACATGGTTGACCAATGGCAGAGATAGATTCGGAGAATGGGGCAAATGATTGGGCTGTAGTGAAGAAAGTGTTTTCTTCGGAGTTAGCTCTGGATTGAGCTCGAGTTTTCGGAGGCATAAAAAATGATAGGTCAGTACGACGTTAACGGATTGAGTTTAATTATACTGTTAAGATCATGTACACCGTGTAACCGTGCCAAAGCCACAAGGTGTCTAAGTGCGGAAGACGAGTGGGACAGTAGTGAAGTTATTAACAACACCGCCGTTACGCCGTTAGTCCCCGGAGATCGAGAGCAGAGAAGGGAGGAACTGAGGAGCAGCCAAGTCGGAGTGGCGGTAACGCCGGTGACGAGGAGCGAACCAGAGAACGTCTAAGTCCTAAGGTTATAGTAGAGAGTACTCCAAGGCGTTGAGCCTGAAGACTTAGAGAAGAGTTAAGTTGGGAAGGGAGATCTAAGTTGATCTAAGTCGATAATTAAACTGAGGAACTACAGTAGCGTACAGGCAGTATTTATATCTACGGAACGGCGCATCGGTGCGGAGCGCCAGACTAACTACTAGGAGCTATATGAGTAGTACCTGCAGGGTAAAGTAAAAGACAATAAGGAAGGACTAGAACGAAAGGGTATGTGTAGCGAGAAAGAACAATAAGAGTAAGATTACAATAAGAGTGGATCTTCGGAGTACCGAGCGGCGGAATGGAGGCCCGAGGCATGGACTTGACAGGCACCATGTGCATCATCGGAGGTAAACCCAAATACGGTCAAGTAGGTTGATCGCTTGAGGGAAATTGCACAAAAATGAGCTTACAACGGCCTAGGCAGGCCGTTGTAAATTCGGGATTTACAACAGGCCTCAAATTTCAAATCACTCGCTAAATACACCTGTCACTTGTTTGCCGACAAGATTAAAACTGTTAATTGTCAAAAATTTGACAATTAAAGTCTGCGGGAAGTCATCCAGTATTGAGACTCGCATATGCTATCAGACGATCCCCTATCAATTTAGCTTCATGGACTCCGCACTTCATGCCATCCCCATTAGATGCTCGTTTATTACAATGTCTCTTTACCTATTCATCCCACCTATATAAGTACCCTCATAATTAACGCACTCGGGAAGGGCACGGTTGATTTTTCAATTTTGATAATTTGTTGCCGGTTTATTGCCGGCCCGTCGGATTTGATATCTCACCATTGACACTTTTATGCATGCAGTAAAAGTATTTTTGTCACCTCCAAACTCTTCAGTGAATACACTGTCATTTTTCTGCCTTCTAAGTACCTTAGGAATGATAAATTCCTCAGGTAGCACACTCGGGAGAAGGCACAGTGAAACTGATAGCCTATCATTGTCTCTGTGTTTTTGAACTGTTCATCTGTAAAATCTGTATTCTTCAAGTTGGCTAAGAGCTTGAAAGTGTCAAGGTTTAACTCAGTAAAGTAACTGAGGTGTTCAAGAGGCATTCCATTGTTGTCTACCTAGGTACTGTATACATCTGCAAAACCTGTATTTTCGGCTAAGGGTCTGAAAGTGGTTGAGAGCACTTCCCAGCAGTGAAAGCACCCAGAGCATGTTGCTTTTGGTGCTTTCAGCGCTGGGATCTGCTCTCAGCCCTTAGCCGAATATCCAGGTTTTGCAGATGTAGTATAATGTAATAATGCTGTCTTGTAACTTTATATACAAGGAGAAGTCTCAGGTATGTACAGAATGGGCTCGAGCACATGGAGTATCCCTCAACAGAAAGCAGCTGACAGCACTATCCAGCTGGGAAAGTGCTCCCACATCTGCAAAACCTGTATGTTCACCAGAGCAAGGGTACTGGCTGGAGAGCGCTCTCCAGCACCCAAAGCACCGAGAGCAAAATTTCAACCTTGCTCTGGGTGCTTTGGCTGCTGGGAAGCGCTCTCAGCTGCTTTCGGCTAAGGGTCCGAAAGCAGTTGAGAGCATTTCCCAGCAGTGAAAGCACTCAGAGCAGTCTGTTCTCAGTGCTTTTGGTACTGGAATCTGCTGGAATCTGCTCTCAGCCCTTAGCCAAATATCCATGTTTTGCAGATGAGTGCCTCCGTTGCTCTTGTGAACATCCAGCTTTTGCAGATGTTATTTAGTCTTAATAGCTATTCAAGTTCTTTGAGCTTGCTTGTTTTTCTTAGAAGAAATGCTTATGCTGGAGTTTTACATATGAGCTCTGAGTTCAAGTAACAGGCACTCTGTATCACACCCTATGTAGGACTGCATGACCCCCATAAATTGATGATAGAGGTATGAATTCCTTCAAAAATTGTAAATTGAGATAAATTGAGTGGAGACATGAATACTCAAAGGGGGATATTCATCATACCTGAGGTAACTAGAAGGCAAAAGATGATAGTGTATTTACTTAAGAGTTTGAAGGCCACAAAAATACTTTTACTGCATGCATAAAAGTGTCAATGGTGAGATATCAAATCCAACGGGCCGGCAATAACCCGGCAACAAATTATCAAAATTGAAAAATCAACCGTGCCCTTCCTGAGTGCGTTACTCATAATATAAACATCCCCAGCTTGGTATATTTTGAACACATACCCTTTTGCATAGGTCCAGTCCCTGCTAACTATACGGATTTCTCTTACTCTCAGTTTCCTTATCTCTGTTTCTCTACTTCTATCTTTTTCCCTATGGTCATCTAAATGATTCAATACACACTTTTACCTCACGTCTAAGCAACATCTGCAAAACCTGGATGTTCACGAGAGCAAGGGTACTAGCTGGAGAGCGCTGTCCAGCGCTGAAAGCACTCCCAGCAGTTTTTCAGTACTGCTGGGAGCGCTTTCCCAGCTGGACAGTGCTGTCAGCTGCTTTCGAGCTCTTAGCCGAAAATCCAGGTTTTACAGATGAACCCAAGTGAGTTTTTGAGCTCCCTTGACCAATACTAAAGCTCCCCAAATGTCTATTGTTTTGGTGAGCCAATCTTCCCCAAGCCTCCTCAAGCTCTCTGATTGCTCCACAAGCTCCCTAATCACTCCACAAGCTCCCTAATTGCTCCACAAGCTCCCTAATCACTCCTCAAGCTCCCTAATTGCTCCACAAGCTCTGGGACCTTGATCTATCATCTAAGTTGTTGAATGAGTTCTCAGTTGATAAGAGAAACAACTGTATTAGCATATCATATCTAAGTACCTGTTGAATGAGTTCTATACATAGTACTTTAGTAAAGCTATGTAGAAGAAGGAAAGAAAAATAAGATCCTATTTTATCTTATCCTCTTATCTTATCTTATCCAGTCTCGTGCTAAACCAGACGTTAGACGCTGGGAAGGGTTAACGATTTTCTTAAAAAATCTTTCGAAAAAACTGTACACCGTACATTGGACAGTGGACACCGTTACATTGGACACCGTTACACCATACACCGTACATTGGATATTGGACACTCTGAGTACAGCGGACAGTGGTCTTTCTCTCACATCTGATACGCGTTCGAACCCTTTTTTTTGGAGGGTTTCCAGAGTTGCGTAGAGTCGTAGAAATAGGTTGTATTGACTTTGTGCTGAGGTACGTGACATTGACACTGTACTCTCTATTTTCTATTTCATACTTTATACTAATCCATTTCAAAAGTCCCGTGTTTAAAGCCCACGTTTAAAGCTCACGATTCAACGTTCAACGTTCAACGTTCACGTTCACACCCACCCGCCCAACCTTGTGATACAGATACAACCAATCCTTGTGATAGGGATAGTACAGCATAGCACAGGAAGATGTACACCACCACCACCACTACCGCGTCTAAGGGTATACATATACGCTCTCAAACTCGAACTCAAACGCGAACGCGAACTCGAATCTTGGGACCGACGGCTATTCCCGTTCCTTCGACGTTGTTGTTTAGGAGTTTAGCGACTGGGAGAGTGGGAGAAAGGGAGGGAAGAGAGGCAAGAGAGGGAAGAGAGAGTAAGAGGGTAGGAGAAGGAGAAGGAGAGGGAAGGGAAGAAAGAAAGGATAGGGAGGAAAGGAAACTACGAATACCACGGATGCCTCGGGGGTTTCTTCCTCCTCGCATCAGCACTAGCACCTCTTCCTCGTCTTCGTCTTCTTTCCCGTCTTCTACCTCTTCCTCTTCTACCTCCTCACCAAAGTCTCCTTCGTCTACGTCTTCGTCTTCACCGCCGAAGTCTCCTTCGTCCTCTCCTTCCTCGTACCCCACCTCCCGAATACTATCCAACCTCGGCTCACTCATCTCGCACGCGTCGTCTCCGCCTCCGGGGTGGACGTATTCTCCTAACTCCAACACCAACACCTCCAGCACTCACACTCACACCTCCTCTAACATCGGAGGAAGTAGAAGTGAAATCGGAGGAATCGGAATCGGAATAAGAAGCGGAAGTGGAATAGGAAATGCCGAATTCCGGCGACTCGCGGGGACGATCCCGAGTATCGTGCGACTCAGGGGAGAGTCGGTGGAGAAGATGGCTTTTGAGCGGCGGGGGAATAGGGAGGATGGACTAGGAATGGGTGGGGAAGGGGAAGGAGAAGCAGGAGAAGGAGGAGAAGGAGGAGGAGAACTAACCCTAGAACCTGGAACGTTCGTGGAACTCCGAAGATCGACGACTGCGGTTAATGCGGTTGTTTTGGCTGCGTCGTATACTTCTTCGTATTCCAAGATCTCTTCTACCTCTTCTACCTCCTCTTCGTCTTCCAAGACCTCCCCGAGTTCCAAAACCTCTTCGACTCCGTCCAAGACCTCTTCATCTACTAGTTCCAAGACCTCGAGAACTTCAGGCCTAACATACCTCTCCCTAACATCCACGGGAGAAGTATGGCCGCACACGAAAGACGACGTGTATTTCTCTGTACCGGGGGTGGTAGCGAGGGACGTGGTGAGGATGTGTGGGGGGGAGGATGATGATGATGATGGTGAGTTGAAGTTGAAGTGGTTCTATAACTGATTTATATCGCTTTACTAATACCCCCTCCCTCTCTACTTTGCTCCCAGTCCCGGAAATAGCAACAACCAAACCCCAACTCCACGCCCGCGTTCTCGTGCTCAAAACCCTGCGCCAGATCCAACGCGACGTCGAGGATGCCATGAACACACTGTTGAGTCGACAGGTGGACCTGTACGCCCTCACACGGGCCGTCAACCCGGAGGTCTGGGGCGAAACGACGCTGGGGGAGGTGGGGAGGGTGTTTGGGAGAAAGAAAACAGGGAAGAACGGAAACACGACGTTTGCACAGGTGTTTGCGGCGCACAAGTATATCGTGGCGAATCCGAGGTGGTTTGTGCTTGCGCATGATTATGCGACGAGTAGGAGGATTAGGGTGCGTCCTAAGGGGGACGTGGAGAGGTTAAAGTGGGTGGAGGGGGTGGTTAGAGACCACGGTCATGAGATGGATGAATTCATCTCGCTTTGTCAATCAATAATCTCTACCTCCCCTCCTCACCTCCTTTCTCCCCCTCTCACCTCGAGCACGGAGAGGAAGTGGTCACCCTCCGCACAGGTGTTCATCCGGCACCTGATTAAATCGCTCAAACCCCAACACCCCGCACAGATCGACCCGTATCTGCTAGGGGTGCAGTATATCGTGAAGAAAGTGTATCCGGAGGTCGACGATGTGTTTGACGAGGTCGTGCATCGGTTGCTCGTGGATATCGGGGCCGTGGCGCCGTGGCAGGATGTTACGACCCTCAGAGCGATGAGTGAGGGGGAGTTGTTTCTGGGGGATCCTCCAACTACTCGTCGATCATCGACACCCCCATCCCCCAACGCACCACTCGGTCCAGAAGATTTCTACCCCACCGACCCCGCCCACCACATCCGGCACGACTTCGGTGACCTCCCCGTGTACGTAATCGACGACACCAACGCCCAAGAGCTCGACGACGGGATCAGCGTCGAGCCCCACCCCACTTCCCCGTCTCAAATCTGGATCCACATCCACATCGCCGACCCCACCTCGCTCCTGCCTCCCACCCACGCATTAGCGAAGCACGCAGAGAAAATGACAGAGTCGATGTATTTCGTGCAGGGGGCGTGTCCGATGCTTCCGAGGTCGTTTACCCATGATGAGAGGAAGGGGTTCTCGTTGGGGTGTACGGGGGCGGAGCAGAGGACGTTGACGTTTTCGGTTTTGGTGGATCTGGAAGGGGGAGGGGAGATTAGGGAGTATAAAGTAAGAGCGGGGGTGGTGAGGAATTTCGTGGTGGCGAGTTATGGGGAGGTGGATCGGGTGTTGGGGTTTGGGGAGGAGAAGTGGGAAAAACCATTTGCTCCTTCTTCCTCTTCCTCTTCCCCTCCCCCTCCACCTAATCCATCTCCCACACACCTAGAACCCCACGTTCCAAACCTCCGGTCACTCTACACCGCATCCCAAGCCTTCGTCGCGCGTCGGTTCAAAGACGGTGTGTTCACCCAATCCAGACCCGTCTCGAAATTGACTGGAGTCGTGTGGCCTCACACCACCCCCGTCGTTGGGTTCCCTGTTAATCACGACGAAGGGGGGGTGGAAGCGTATACGTATACGGGGTATCCGTTTTTTTCAACCCCCTCTCCAACCCCCTACCTATCCCAATACCAAACCTCCGCCCAACACCTCCTCGACACCCACTCCCGCTCCCTCGTCGCAGAGTGCATGAAGCTCGCATCCCGCGCCTGCTCCATGTTCTGTCGCGACCACTCTATCCCCATCCTCCGTCGATGGGCGGAGCCTCCGGTGCTCGACACCGAGGAGGGGCTGGGGAGGGTGGTGGGTGCGAGGAGGGGTGGGTATTTGGTTTGGGAGAATCAACACCCCAAATCCCACCAAACTAATGGTGGTGTTGGTGGTAATAGTGGGGAAAAGGAAAACGGATACACCATCCTCGCCACCCACCTCCTCTCCGACTCCACCGCGGGGTACACCCTCGATCTCCGCGGGCACTGGGGGCTGGGTGTCCCGTCCCACGAGGGGTATGTGAGGTGCACGAGTCCGTTGAGGAGGTACGCGGATTTGGTGGTGCATTGGCAGGTTAAGAGTGCGTTGGTTGGGGTTGCGGCGTGTCGCCCCACCTCTTCCTCCTCTTCCCCAACCCCTTCCCCAACCTCCCCTTCCCTTACTTCCCCTTCCCCAACCTCCCCTTCCCTTACTTCCCCTTCCCCAACCTCCCCCTCCCCTCGTATCCCCTCCCCCCTCTCTCACCTCAAACTCCCCAACCTCCCCTTCTCCCCCCCCCACCTCCTCGCCTTCGCCACACACAACCAAGCCGCCGAGCGCTTCCGCAAACGCATCGCGGGGCAGCACGAGGCGTGGTGGGGCGTCGCGTGGCTGATGCGGTATTTGGAGGTCGTGCAGATTTTGGAGGGTGGTGGAAAAGGAGAGAGGGAAGGGAGGTATAAGTTCACGGCTAGTGCTGTGGTGAGGAATGATGAGAATAATAATAATAATAATAATGGTTTTGGTGTTGGTTCTCCTTCCACCAGTCTCCTCTCCTCCCTACACCCCTCCTCCTCCTTCCCCTTCCCCTTCCCCTTCCCCTCCTCCTCCCTACACTCCTCCTCCTCCCTACTATCAAACTCAAACTCAACCTCAATCCTCCAAACAAACCCCTTCCCCACCCTCACCGCCACACTCACCTCCCCCCCGGAGACGAACCGGGACTCCAAGAAGCTCCAGGCGGCGGTGTATCTCACGCGTTTGGGGATCAAGGCTGTGTTGACTGAGGGGGGTGGGAGAGGAGGAGGTGAGTGTTTTTTTTTGACTTTGGTTTTGGTTTTGGTTTTTGGACTTTGACTTTGGTTTTGGGCTTTGACTTTGTTTTGACTTTGTTTTTGGGCTTTTTTTGGACTTTGGGCTTTTTTTGGTTTTGGGCTTTTTTGACTTTGGTTTTTTCTAACTACCCATCTAACCCCCCCCCTCTCTAGGCACACCATACAACATCGCCGACCTCCGCGTGGGGGACACCGTCCCCGTTGAGGTGAATGCGATGCGGTTGGGGGTGAGGCCGCAGGTGCAGGTGGTTCCGAGGCGGGGGTGAGGGTGATTTTTGGAGTTTGAGAGTAGGAGGGTGAGGGGTGGAGAGCTGAGGGGAGTGATTTTTGGGGGAGTAGAGTAGGAGGGTGAGGGGTGGAGGGTAGGAGAGTAGAAGGGATCGGGAGAAGGAGTAAACAGAAGGAGTAAAGAGAAGGAGAAGCTCTCACCCCCGGTGTTGGTGGATGAAAAAAAAAGTACGGTGGTGGTACCGTACACTGACCAAAGACAAAAAGTATTTTGTTTAGTTTAGAAGAAGTCGGGGAAGGTCCCGCTGTGTCGGTTTGTTGGTTTATAGTTTGGTATAATATACAGTTATCTATCTAGTTATCTAGTACATATACTACGTAGTTGCGTAGTTGCATAATTCCACTCCCTCCTCCACTCCTCGGAACACACCTCCTCTCACTCCACTTCTCACTTCCTTCACCTCTCACCTCCCCCTCTCCCTCTCCCTCCACTCCTCGGAACACTCCTCTCACCACCGAGACGCCGAACCAGGTCGTTGAACGGGTCGAACAGGTCGAAACCCATCGAAGATTCATGAGCACCGCACTAAGATTCATGAGCACCGCACTAAGATTCATGAGTACTATACTAAACCCACCCCTCGCAGCGATGATTTTCTTTTCTTTTCTTTTGTTTCTTTTCTTTTATTTCTTTCTTTCACCTGAAATCACCTGGAAGGCTATATACCCCGAACCACTATTCCGAACTACTATCCCGAACTATTATCCCGAACTACTATCCCGAATGCACTGGGTCTCTTCGTGCACACTGCAATACTCCATGAAAAATCTTTTTCCGAAAATATCCTCCTGATCTGTCTCTGGGGATTTGAATCTCCCCCGTGTACTACGAAAATCGAGATTGGCCTGGGAGGATATGAGGTTTTTTTTTTTGGATAATGAGTAAGTGTCTTGGAGACATTATGAGACACTTTGTGGTATGGTATCTGTCTGAGAAAGGAGACTCCGATAGTGATGATAGTGATGATAGAACACCTGCCAGTGTTGAGTGCTGAGGCTGTTGGATTGAATTTTTTGAGTCCCTCGAAGAGAGATACCTTGTGTGTACTACTTCGTACTTGTGCTGGAAAATGGTGAATATGAATATGAATACGAAGAACAGAGGAATCCGCGAGGGTTGTGAAATTAAAGCGCTGAACGTTACTATGTTGAACGTTAACGCATCTGTAAAACCTGTATTTTCGGCTAAGAGCTCGAAAGCAGCTGACAGCACTGTCCGGCTGGGAAAGCGCTCCCAGCAGTACTGAAAAACTGCTGGGAGTGCTTTCAGCGCTGGACAGCGCTCTCCAGCTAGTACCCTTGCTCTCGCAAACATCCAGGTTTTGCAGATGCCGTTAAGTTAGATGCGTTGAACACTGATGAGAACTGCGAAACACGAGTGAATGAAGATCTGATCAACTGATTTGACATACAATTTCGTGATGGATGAGTCCCGCCAATTTCTGTCCGCCGCTGTATGCTTTCTAGATCCTCAGTGTAGTACACCTTTCAAATGGGTAGGGTACATATCTTCATTGCTCCATCTCTCTCTATTTTTTCCGTCCTACAGGTTATCCAGTGCCCTTCTCATCCGAGTCCTAGATAGTAGCCTGAGGAAGAAACGAGATGATATTAGTACATAGAAAGGTGAGCCCGCAAGAGCGGCGTTGTAATTCATGCCACACCTTGAAACTTGGCTTGATTTGAAAGCGGTATCGATGCCGCTGCGAATGGGAGGTAAGGAGCAGGAGCATTAGTGGGACACATCTTAATCTCAAGGCTTGAGACGAGTGATACTTAGTCATTAGTGTCAGAAATAATCCCTGTGGGAATCAAATCGAATCCAAGTGTGTTACGGAAAGAACTTAGACTGCCATGATCCCTCGCAATAATCATGATGTTTCGACTGTAAACATAACTGTTTACTAATATGCATATAATCACATGTGGGTCACAGTATATATAGTGACCCTACTCTACAGACGACTTTACCGTCTTACCTCCATTTACTCATATCAGATATCTTCCTGTAACCTAGAGTCTCTCTACACTTCTCATCTTCCAATCATAGTCGGTTCCTATTATCTCGGTTCCCCTGTGAGTCCTTTCAGTCTTACCGGCGTGTACTGCTGGTTTCCATCAACGTACGGAAGCAGAGAGAACAGAACGGTCGTGGAGGAAATTATGTAGAGGTATTGGGTACGTTCTGAAAGTAATCGTTGTTATTTCTGAAGTTAAGAAATGGACTCGGAGGACATACTGACCTCAAGTTAAGTAAAATCCCAAAGTACTGGATAGGGCTGCCTGACAAATTGAGTTTGATATGTCAATGTCCAGGGGTGCTCTCAGCTCACATGAGTGTCTTGTATCAGCTTGTATCTCGTAACCAGAGAGGTCAGACCGGACATCGTTGACGTCGATGTTGCTAAAGAGGGAGCTGAAAAACCTTTGGAGTACAACACACTGCGGCTTTGAAGTGCCAGTGTATTTCAATATTGAACCGTGAATTCGAAGCTCATCCAATTCTTGAAATCTTCCGAATCAACCGCCCCATCACCCTTTCCAATCGTCGCTCCCTGACCTATCCGATGAATACCATGAACATCGGAAACAAAAGGATGTGCAGAACGCGTATAAAAGGCTAAAGCTGATGCAGATGCCATCGCTTGTGTGCATGAGGCAACAAAAGAGCCAATGGGAAGATTGCTTAGGTAGGAATCAGGATGTATGCGGGATGCCATATGTTTAGTTGTCGTCGAGGTTCGGACCGAGGTTCTGGATGACGAGTGGTCCGTGCGTTGAAATCTGCTCAGTTTGATTCGGACTTTGAATCTATCTCTTCCAGTTTGTTCTACTAAGTTCTTTGTCCGATGCTGGTGATATTTTCTAGGTTTTTGGATCACTTCCTTAGGAGAGTCCCCTCTTAAATCCGAGCGTAAGAGTTCTCGCTTGACCTTCAGCTTCAAGTACGACACTAGGACTCAACCAAAAGATACCGATACAGTACATACAAGTAGTAACGGTCGTCGGAGGAATACGATACATGGTGAGTATACCAAGTATTCATGGTATTGGTAATGCTTATGACTGATTGGAGTAATGAAATCAATGTTGTGCTGCATACACTTACAGTGATTGTATCTTTCATCACCCAAATCTCAGAATCTCATGCATAAAATCCTTAAAAGGCTTAATGCAGCGAGGCTCAATGAGTTAGTGTTCATTTGAGTACTTATCTGGCACTCAATGAACTCACCTTGTTCTATCTGTGCACCGGCACGCAGCCACACGCCGGGACATAGTTATGCAAGTCCCGACGCACACAGCCCTGTGTTTGCGGCAGCGGTTCTTCAATATCTCCAACCGTCCGCTACATGATAGCGCCCTGTATACATCAGTATGCAAATGTTACCTTATCGCAGACTTCAAGTTCAGGTTAGACCGTTCCAATATCGGATTGCGTGTTATGTATGGGAACTCGATAAGTATAGAGACTCTGGAGAATGTAGATGTGCCAACGCCCGTCACTGTGGCTGAATGGTATTCTCCTCCTGACTTTCTCATCTCTGCACCCGCAAGGTTCTCAACGCACAAGTATATGCTATTATTAATCACAAAAATCATCTCTGCATCAAGAACCCCGCGTGTTTTGACAGTGCATTTCACCTTTCACCAAATCTTTGCGGTTTTAAGAGGAAACGAGTAGTATAACAATGGAACTCTATGGAACTGCAAGTCAATGGGTGAAGTAAAACAACAGTAACTTCTCTGTCATGACATCAATGTCAGTTGATCACATTGTATTCTTGACACAGTACCCCAGAGCACCACATACCACAAAAATAAACAACTTCCAAGGTGGTGTTATACAAATGTTAGTGCATTGCTGAAGAATGTTGACGCCACTTGGGCAGCTTCAGCCAACTTCGGCCCCTCCTCTCGATCGATCCCCTGCGGTTGGATTAGCTAATAGGATTCGAAAATAAGGTTCGTATTCATACCTGGGAGCCATATTCATAGCTAGTAGCAACCCGTCATATATGCGCGGGAGGCAATTCGCCTCGTTGACACCAGTATTATTGAAGGTGAGTGAACGTTTGAAATTTGAACCTTTACTTAAAAGTGACAATGTCTTGTGCAAAGGATCCCCCACTCGCAATGCACTTCAACACCCCCGCTGTCGATCCTTTGGCAACAAAGATTTTCTATACCATGGATGTAGGCAAATCCCTTTCGATGAAATTTTTGTTCATCGGTGCTCTCATTCTCCTGGCCACTCGGCTGGTACTTGGCTTCAAGAATAGAGCACGCCTCCCTCCTGGTCCTCGAGGGTTGCCCATCCTGGGGAACGCCCTGCAACTGGCCTCCGTATCACAAATATGGCTCATGTTTGATAAATGGAAGTCTCAATACGGTATGTATCTTTAAAATTCAAATTTAGCAACAACCACTGACCTCATTCGCCATAGGCCCCATCATATATCCATCTGGCAGGTCAACACATCGTTGTTCTGAACACTAAAGCTGCGGCGTTAGAACTTCTGGAACGCCGATCCGCAATTTACTCAGATCGGCCAAAGAGTATTGTAGGCGAATATGTTGGAACAGCAATAACAATGCCCTTCGTAAGATATGACAAACGGTACGTGCCTTGATATGACATATAGATTGCCTTGAATTGCTGGACCTCTACTCAACTTGGCATATGTAGATGGCAGCGAATGCGCCGCGCAGCTCATGCAGTTCTGAATGTTCGCGCTAGTGCACAATATCAACCTGTTCAAATTGAAGAAGCTGTTATTTTTGCACACAAATTGCTGTATGACACGTCTACCCCGTTGTTCACAAAGATAGCCAGGTATGTCAGTCATTTACTCGCTCCTCACAATTTTTGAAATGTCTCTAGATCGGCTTCTACTATGATTTCGGTCATATATGGTAAACAGCTTTTAGAATCCTCCGAGAAGTCAAAGCAATCAGATGCGCTCACGGAAAAGCATTCATCCGAAACTTCCGGTCCTTCTTCAGACCCACTTCATGCTCTTCTGGACACTGTGCATACATTCACCAACGCTCTGGCTCCGGGCTCCCATCTAGTGGAATTCCTACCAATATTAGATTATCTTCCTACGGCAATGGCAAGATGGAAACGAAATGCCAAACGCGACTTTCAACAAACCGCAAGTGTATATGAAAGTTATTACAATTTGACAGTGAGAATATTCCCAAGCTTCTGTGTTGGGAGGAGATCTGATATGGTTCGTCATTCTGTGAAGGTTAATTCTAGTAATCCGCAACCCAACCTTTGCATGAGCCTTGCAGAAAATGAGGTTGCGGGTGAGTTGACTGCAGTTGAGAAGGTTTGGGTGACTGGGGCAATCTCGTAGGTTTATACATGACTTCATCAAAAATAAAATAACTTGAGATTTCATTGATTTTTTAGTGCTGCTTCTCTCGACACTGTGAGATTTTTCTAGTACCTTCACCGAGGCTTGCATGCACTACTAAATCGCAAAAACTAGACCACTGTCACCTTATCGTACTTTCTGTACGCCATGAGCCTTTACCCCAAAGTGCAGGAGCGTGCACAAAATCTATTGGACGAGGTTGTAGGGAGGTCAAGGATGCCAAATTTTGATGATATGAAACAGCTTCCATACATCAGGGCAATTGTCAAAGAGGTGCAGTGTGATTTTGAAAAATGGGGCATTTTTCGAGTATTAACTTGCCCACCATCGTTTAGGTTCTGAGATGGCAGCCTGTAACACCCTTGGCTATACCACATGCTGCGATGGAGGTGTGTTGCTTTGGTCTATGACTACCCACGCATGCAACCACTCACTTTTTGCATATTAGGACGATTGGTACGAGGGTTATTTCATACCCAAAGGAACCATCGTATTCCCCAACGTATGGTGAGTACCGTCAACTTCATTGATCAGGAGTTTTTGATCATCACTTTTTCAGGTCAATGAACCGCGACCAAGAGACATACGGTCCAGATGCTGATCAATTTTCGCCTGAGCGTTTCATCCAAAAATCGGAAACGGGAAACGGATTTGTACTTTGTCCTGAATTCGAAAATAATGATGGTCATTTCAGCTATGGATTTGGAAGGCGGTGAGCTCCTTTCTTCTCTATTTTCGCTTTCTCTCTCTGTGTGCATACATGCTGAATGGAAGTAGGGTATGTGTTGGACGACACGTTGCTGAGAACTCGCTGTTCATCACTGCATGCACGATTTTGTGGGCACTACACATCGAGCCCAAGGCCGTTACTACTCCAATGTCTAAACATGGAGCAGCTCAAGATATATTAAAGTAAGTAAGAAAACTCTTCGTCTTGGCTGTATCAATTTTCTACATACGTACTGATGACTTACAAAAACACAATATTCAGTTCCACACCAGATTTCGATTGTCATTTCTCTCTTCGGTTTCCAGAAGTAGAAGATATTCTCCAGGATACACTGGCAGGAAGCAATGTGTCAGTGTCCTGATCATATATGTTTTTCCTCATAAGTAGGCTTAAGTAGGTAAGTAGAAACCAACAACTTGAAAGTAATGAATCATGTACGATATCAGTGAGACCGGGAAAACTTTTGCTGAACCCATAATCCAAATCATCGGTCTCTGCTTTGAATCTCTCCGGGAAAAATAACATGTATAGTCATACAGACCCACCCTGCTACACTCTATCTGCCTGCAATGCTCTTCCAGGTTGAGACTATGCTGCACTACATTACACTTCACCTTTTGTAGCCTTTTGTCTCTCACCCTTATACACATCCCAATTTTGGGCGACAAACACGACACTCTACATCCATGACGACAACGGCGGGGTTGAACACCGTTGAAGAGCTTCGGAACGTCGAGTATTTTTTCTGTCTCATTATTAAATTCGCACAAAGCGAATCAAGCTGAACGTGGGACTAGGAGTTGACAAAGCGGCAGATAAATCTAAAGAATCAATCCACCAGTCCTCACAATCTCATCATTATGAACTACCTCCTGTAATCAACCTCAACTACCCAAGATCAACCTAACCAGCGTCTGAATAACCACTGAATATTCAATAACCTCAAACAACTTGAGCCCGATTCAATTCTCTAACTTCCTCCCTCCGTGATTGCTTCTGGAGGCGTCCTCGTTCTTTGCCTGAGATTCCTTCGCCGTTTTCGAATCACGTCAGCAGCTTTTGTCTGCTTCAGCTTCTTTCGATTGACGAGAGTTTCTGAGACTGAGAGAGACTGTGAACACTGAATGCCAAAAACGCGTATGTAATCCGAGGGCACGTGAGAATAAGCACGTAACTATTCCGAAAATCTCCCTCGTTGAACGTTGACCAGGACCTATCAGTTCTAGCAATCTTAATCATGCCCAGTCCTGCACATTTTCAATTCGAATTCCAATGTGCACCACAATGCAACCGAGGACCATTCACCTCGATCCAAGGCACAAACCGTCATCGCAACAGCTGCTCGATATGGAGTGCCCATGTAAAGGCTCAAGCAAGGAAACGCGGGCACGAGGAACTCGAAGTTAGAGGTGAGGATGAGGATCCTGCGATTGCTCGGCGGAGGAACTTGGAACGACAACGGAGGAGGAGGCGAGAAGATGAGAAGAAGAAGAGGAAGATACAGACGGATGAAGTCGAAGCGGGAGAAGGTGCGGAGTGTGCTTAGTGGTATCGTCCCGACTTCAACAAAGTTTCTTATATATCATCATTATCATCCCAATCTCTACCTCAGCTGGAATGACAATCCAAGATGAAAACACGCGTATTATAAAGCGACTAGCAGAAGAACATCCCATTGATACCGAGTTTGTCCAATAAGAGTTTGCTCCAGCTCTTTGGAGCTTCAACCTTCCCTGTGTTTGACTGGTGATCTAAAGATACCTTGGTTCCTCCTCCTCTTACTACACCCTCCACCGGCTTCGAACTAGTAATAGGTATATTGCCCCCTAATCTTGTATACAAGCACCCCCATAATAAATACCACCGTCTTTCGAACCATTCGTTCTGAAAAATCGTGAACGTATCAGCAAAAACAAAGCTGTCGCATTCAATGACAAAAAACCCACAAAAACATCTCTCGTTGGGACCTTCTTCACCGGCCAAACTCCCGGAAAGCCAAAATCGACGAGGTGTGGTTTGTTTTTCGCATCGATGAGGACGTTCTCTACCTGGAAGTCGCTTGTGACGGAGGAAATGAATTCACAAGTACGAGCTGATGCAGTGGATGAACTCACGAATAAAGAGGCTTTCCTTCACGTATAGAACTATAAACCACCTCCTCAAGTTCTCTCTTCAGCGTATCAAGGGCATTCAGCTTTTGCTTTTTCGTCAACACAACGCTTTTCCATTGTTCAGTATTCAAGAAGGTTGTACCATCTACTTTCTTCATGATGATCACCCCGACCTGTGCGTCCCCTTCTGACAGTGGCAACATCGCGAACCCACTCGTCACGCTTTGTCCGTACGCTTTGAGCGATTCCACTTCGCATGAAGGACTTTCAAGCCACGGGCTGATTCCAGTAAGTTTGACTAGCTTCACGACACGATCCAGGTGATTAGGTAGGGTGAAGACACCTTGGTTGAATTTCCCGGATTTGGAGAGGAGTTTGCGGTCTACGATTTGAGTTGTTAAATCGGTTCCTGTTAATTCCTAGCAGTAAGCATCTCATGAGCCACTATGTTGGTGACAAGCTTGACACCCCAACTTGGTACGCACTCTTGAAGGTTTCCTCGTTCTTCCCGTATCCAACACACTTCGAGTCATACAAATAATCAATTCAATCTTCATCCTATCAAAGTTAAGATTGTTTGAGTGAATTATACCGTAGGCTACTGCATGGTCAAAAGGAAAAGGTGACGTACACGGAGTTGACCAAACCATTTGTTTGGGAATTCTTGTTCGGCAGTCTTCCTTTTTTCTACTAGGGAGTTTTCCCCGGCTGGTACCTCTGAAGAGCTGCGCTGGAATGCTTGCGCCGCAGCCGCGGGGTCTCTAGTGCCAAGCGTCAGAGTAGTATGAGAGATACCTAGCTTGGATCTGTCGTAGGGTATTGCACCAACGGCGAGGAGTAAAGATGCCGCGAGGTTGATATACAGCAAGGTGGAGGAGAAAGTCATATGCACAGTGAACAATTTTTGACGATGGCGATTGGGAAGGTGATGGAGATGTAAACAGCAAAAGTTCTCCAGAAAAAAAGTCCACCCAGCGGTGCGTTGGATAATATGATAGTGGAAGCGGATTCTGACCAGCAGAGATTCGGATTCTGAGAGCTTAGTATGGGTCTGGTATGGGTGACGAAAAGGAAAGTGAATCGGGATGAAAAAAGTACTACTTACATGTAAAAGAAGCTAAAGCTTAATCTCAAGCTTGAGGCCCTGACAGGGCCCTGAGCAAGATGGACAACCGACGGACCTGATGATAACAGTGCCGGTGCACACCAACAGAGGACCAAGCGCAGATCCAAACAGTGAACGATGAGATGTTTTTATTTCGAGCAATTTCTTGGAATTGAGTGAACGTCCAGGAAGCTTTGAGGTCTTTGAGGCTGGACCAAGTTTCTGTCAATAAATTCTGAGAAAGGATAATTCTCGTGTGATTCTCACGTGGGTTAAGCTGCCAGCTACTAAGGTAGAGCTCATGCAAGATCCGCACACGTCACTTGACCAGAGTGACAAGAGCGTTACTTGACCTCAAACGACGTTCAAAAATTAATAGCAGTCTGTCGGGTACATATATAGAAAATCGGTTCGCAAGGAAAGCTTTGCTTGAAGAATATAAACGTTTCTGCGAGAACCGATTTTGGAAAAATTAGTCCATTAGACCGCTATTAATTTTTTCGTGTTCAATCTCCGTTAAAACAGCACATGAGTGGCAGTGTTGCCCTTCAGTGCACTTCTCCTTCATCTTCGTATCCTTAAACAACAATTTCATGCTGCCAGCAACATGCCCAGAACCAAGAAGATGAATCTTAAGAACCTCGGGACAAATGTTATCACAACTTCTATAAAAACTGCAAAAGAGAAGGCAAAGAGGCTATTGAAACAGAAGGAGATGGCGGATAAGGAAAATCCTGTGAGTTGTAACACTGGTTGGGTTGCTTAAAGATACTCACCATAAATAAGCTTCCTAAATCGCCAGTTGGTCGGAGGAATCGTGTTGGTCGACCCTGTAAACAAGTGAATCCAACTACACATGCTGACCGAGACGAAAACCCGTTTTTGGATCGTGAAAACGCGTTAAGTAGGGCTGATGAAGATAGAGAAGCAGAGTCAAATGGGCATAGGTCTGGGTGGATGTCGTTCGCTAGGACAGGTATGTATAATTCAGATTCAATGGCGCGTTGTATTAATTCAATGCATTAGAAATCGGAGCTGCCAATAGTAGTCTACATTGTTCCACAAAGTATGCATCGAGTAGTTCTAGCAAATTCCGTTCTCCTCAAAACTTGTCGCGATCACACGAGTCACTATCTGACACTCCGTCTAAACCACCGCGTCGGCCATTTCTTTTCCGTTCCACAACTTCACTTTGGAAGATTCTAACCTCTGCCTTTTCCACCCCATGTCCTTCTCCCTCTCTGGATCAAGTCAAGATGCATGAGCAGCTATCAAATCTGGATGGCCTTCCTCATGAGCCATTGTTGGATACACCATCGAAGGCATGTCGGCCACCTTTGTTCCGTGCCATTACTCCGCTATCGAATTCAATCGCTTTGCCTTTTCGCTCTGAGTGCCAGTCGACTTCACTCAGTGTTTCTGACATATCACTGCAAAATATGGATAACCTGGATGAGGAACTTGATAGTAAGAGTCAAATAAGTGTTTTCATTAACTTATTTGCTCAAAAGGGCCCCTTAGATTTCTATGTCTTCATTGAGGAGGATCCCGGAAATGATCCTGGTTATGCTGATTTAGAGTCAGAATCAGACTCAGACTCAGATTTTGGCTCTGAAGATGATGGAGATCGTTCGGACATTGAAGACTTCTGCATTCCGCGATCTGGTGCTTGCCGAGGCATTTCACGGCAGGGAATACCTTGGGACGCTCGCAAGCCTCCTCCAGAATCAATTGCTTTGGAAGCACTGGAGTCTCTTAAGTGGATCCTGGAGCCACGGGTAGGAAAAAGTAAGCGTCGAAAGGTTCCAGAGATTGACGCATGGTCCAAGGATCATCTAGAAGAGATTCAGCGCTTCCTCAAGCTGTACACTGCAAAAGATTCAGCTTCAAAGGGTCAGTGGACGAAGTCTAGTGAAGTTATTGCGGTTGCAAAGAAGGGGAAGTTTACCCGCTATGGTTACTCGCGGGGTCTACGGGAACGTGCCCGGAATTTCATCAATGAGCGTTCACCTCCTCAAAATCCTTTTGGAAAGCACACGAAGTCTCAACTCCAGCCAGATACCGAATTCGCTCAGGATATACTTGCCCACTTGCTCACTTGCGGTAAATATGTCAAATCCCAGGACATCGTTGATTATCTTGCAAGGCCAGATGTACAGCTGAAGCATGGCCTCAAACATACTATCTCTGCGGCAACTGCAAAGCGATGGATGAGGAAACTTGGTTATCGTTTTGTGAAAAACCATGTCGGTCAATATGTGGATGGCCATGAGCGAGATGATGTTGTTAAGTACCGCCAAACAGTGTTTTTGCCTGCATGGTATTCCTTTGAAAATCGGATGCGCTCATGGGATGAACAGGATCTTCTGGAGTATAGTCTATGGTCTGGCCGTGTCATCGTGATATGGTATCATGACGAATCTATATTCTATGCTCATGACCGAAAAAAATCACAGTGGGTGCGAAACAATGAGTCTGCAACACCGTATGCAAAGGGTGAAGGTGTATCCCTAATGGTTGCAGATTTTGTCTCTGCGGACTATGGTTGGCTTCGCTCCCGCGATGGAAAGGACTCTGCCCAAGTTGTTTTCCGTCCCGGAAAGAATCGTGATGGATACTTCGACAATGATGACATTCTCGAACAGGCTCAACATGCAATGGACATATTGACGCGTGATTATCCTGACGAAAATCATGTTCTTGTGTTCGATAATGCAACCACTCATCTCAAGCGTGCACCCGACACACCCTCTGCCACCAAAATGACCAAATTTCCATCTTTGTTTGGCGTCGAAGTCACTGCAAAAGGATCAGATGGGAAGACATTATATTCATCATCTGGTAAGCCTCAAAAGAAGAAGATCCCAATGTCTGGTGGTCAACTCCCAGACGGAACACCACAATCATTCTATTTCCCTCCTGGACATGCTCAAGAGGGGATGTTCAAAGGAATGGCCATAATTTTGGAGGAGCGTGGATATGGTGACTGGTCAATGATCAGATTTGAATGCGAGAAATTCAAATGTGATCCCACAAAGCAGGGTAACTGCTGCTGTCATCGCAAACTATACAACGAGTCGGACTTTGTCAATGGTAAATCTCTTCTTGAGACAGCATGTGAAGCTCGTGGATTTCAATGTCTTTTCCTGCCCAAATTCCATTGCGAAATCAATCCAATTGAGCAATGCTGGGGCCGAAGTAAATTCTGGTATCGCCTGCTCCCAATGTCGAAGAAAGAAGAAGATCTGAAACGGAATATGCTCAACTCTCTCAATAACGTTACTCTCAAGGAAATACGGCGGTAAGTATTTCTCTAGCTCTTCAGGATATCTTACTGATTGTACTCAGGTTTGCCCGTCGTGCACGTCGCTTCATTGATGCATACAAGAAGGGGCTCAATGGGAAAATGGCAGCCTGGGCAACCAGAAAATATCGAGGCCATCGAGTTCTCCCGGAAGGGATCATGAAGGAATACTTAGATAAGGAGGTATCCAAAACATTTTGAACAGTCATGTATCTTACTTGTACTCACTTAATTACATGCATTATATCGCTCGAGAACACACAGTACACTGTGTTATGTAGTGACATAACAAAGGTCACAGCTTGGTCACAGTCACCTGACGTGTGCGGATCTTGCATGAGCTCTACCTTAGACCTTACTGGTACTGTTCCTAGACCCAAGGCATAATGTCACGACCTGCAATTGTCCGCCGGAGAAAAGAGGTGCGATCTCCGACGAATGAGGGATAAGATTTTGTGACGATTGTGTCTAAAGAATCGACAAGTTTGGGCAGGAAAACCGGAGAGCGATGGCATCATGGATAATCAGCGCCACTTTTTGTTCCGTCGTGCGACGCCTTCCGCCATCCGAAGGAGAATATGCTACATATAAAAATGCCATCAGTTGTCGTCCGTCCCTTCATCCCCCTCGAATTCCCCCCAAACCGCTGGTCGGTCCTTTCAACATTCTTCCCCAAATTACATAAAAAAGACGTTGATCGTTCTACTGCGTACAATGCAGCTCACTCATCCTTCAAAATTCCACTCCTTCACTCGCACGATCGGTTTTCTCTTCATCGCGATTGGGACTGTAGTAAATATCGCTGTACCTATTCAAAATTTTGATGCTGTGAGTCAAATCTTTCTTTTTTGCCGGGCACTTACTTACTTTTATCCTTGTGTTCGAGACACAGCATCCCTCGCGAAACGTCTCCGATGATGAGTTCTCTTCCAGCTCAAGCAATTCCAACTCAACGTCAATTTACCCCAGGATGGATGCAGCTCCAGGCAACACAGACCTCCCTCTCCAAACAAAACCCATCGAAGCATGTGTCACCATCCACAGCGTCTCCCTACTCCCTGCAAATACCCAGAAATCCCTCCAAGCCGCTATCGAGGAACTACTAAAACCCATGATTCCTGCCATCACCAAGGACATTCAGCGCGGGTTCAAAAAAGTCTTGCCCAAGCTAAACATTGAGGATTTCCCGAAAGTCAGTGGAATCCCGGTGACCAGTATACAGTACAAACAACACACCTCGCCGGAAGGGATGTATGCCTTTGATATGGGGGTGAGGGGGAAGTTGGATATTCTGCATGATGAAGAGCGGTGCAACTTGCCTGATTGCGGATGCTACAATGTGAAGAATGCATTGGGATCCTCGTATTATGGGGAAATCAGTCAGGCGTGTGTGGAGGATGGGAAAAAGATATATACGGGATTTATTGGAGGGAATAACATAGAGACTGGGGTCATGGATAAGTTGATAGAGTTCAAAAATGGGAAGGTCAGTCTAATCACTTGTTGATTTACGAATTGGTATAACTCACTAGATTCTCGAAAACTTTTCACTCACTAGGGCGTTGTCCCAAAGAAGTCCCTATTTTCGCGTGTAAAGAATTACCTGGCAAATCACAGGGGTAAAGGATCCTCATCGTCATCTTCATGATGTACTCAAGTGTACCCATCTGTTTCGATTCACCGTAATCTCTGACTTCATATACATAGCCCCTTGCAATTTATCTCGACCAGTTCTGTTATGGATATTCCTAGTGTGTAACAGGTTTGGGGTTGTTTGATGTGTTAAATATGTACAGTTAGCATCTTTGCTTCACTATACCCACTACAAATCCGGGAAGAGATGGTATACCATTCAACTCAAAAGGCTCTGATCAAGCCTGATAAGCGCAGATGAGGACTGCTTTTCCTTACCACGGCCGGGCTTTCCTCTGGTTTCCCCTTCGCTCTATCAAGATGCGAGGCGACGACGGAAGTCACAGAATGGTCAAAAAACATATGTACAGGCACATAGTTACTCACAGCTAGTTTCCTCTAGTTTCACGGTTTCAGCTATAAAATCAACTCTAATGTGCAGACCTGTTCAGGACCTGTTTATCACCCCGCCGCTGGTCGGTCTTATCAACATCACAAAAGGGTTCTCTATCCCCATCGCAATGCAGCTCCTTTTTTGTATGCATATCCTTTCTCTAGGTCTCTTAGCGGGTACCTTCTTCCTCGAGAGCATCTGTGCCAGACCGGTGGATTCAGAAAATGTCGGCAACTCCCTGGAACTTTTGCCCCTCCCCTCAAGGATACATCCGAACAGCGACTCATCTTCCACTAGCTCACAAAACGACGGCATTCATGATTGCCATTATCTACCACTGCATCTGCCAATATACGCGATGGAAGCCCAAGTCATACTCCATGATGAAATACCCGACGTGAAAATCGAAAACCTTTTAAAAACAACTATTGAAACAATGTTGGAACCAATAATTCCGGCCATTGTGGATTCGATAGCAGAAAGTCGTCCAAAGTTGGGGAATTTCTTGAAGTCATTGGGGTTGATCACCATTCCAGTCACTCGTGTTGGCTACGTTTCGACGCCGGGAGTCTCAGAGGTTAGGAAAGGATCATACAACTTTGATCTTAACTTTTTGGGACAATGGACCCCTGTACATGACAGTAAACACCAGATGCTCTCCAAGCCCAAGAAATGCTGGGATTTGGTCTTGGACCGGGTCCATGAAGGTCCTACAGCAATCGCGACCCTCCCATATTTCGGGCTTCTCGACCGGGAAGCTCTTGATCATAAAGACAGTATGCTTAAGCTCAGAATCGATCAGCTTACCGGGGAGATAGGACGACGCGTCGTTGATAAGCGATTTCTGATGGTATCATGGAAAAACGGAGAAGTGAGTCCTTTAATTTTTGAATGCATGTGCTGGTTGACTTGAGAGAATTTCCGCTAAAGCATCACTTGACAACAGCAAATGCAGTAGGTCCTATTTCGGGATCGCCTATACATGGATCCTCGTCGATGGCACAAGCTTGAAGCTTTCCGCCCGTGTGTCCATGCACGACAACTTTATGATTGGAACGGAAGTGTAGCAGCAAGGGTTGAAAATCCTCTGCCCTCCACCCCCCGCAATAGCTCTCCGTTGCATTGATCTCCATATCGTAGATTCTTCTCTCTCTCTATCCTTGGACATTGTGCTTGAAAAACAAAAATTATAGATAGAAAGAAACAGACAAAGGAAAATATGATTCGAAAGCTGGGAATATTGTAGATAGTTCCAAGGGCCATGTCCTGAAAATGTCCTGAATGAGTGGCCATGGTCTTCAGAGGAATGAAGAGAGAAAACAGCACAATGCGAACGGAGCCTCGTGATGCGACGGATTAACACAAGGCGTGTTACTCAAGTACATAACATACAGACTCATCACCATGACCCAGAACTAAGTAACGGAGGCAGGCGACAAACTGTATTCATTGGGTCGCCGCGGCTCCCCGCGCCTTAGTACCATACATAATCTTACTTGCTTGCGGTTAATAAAGAGTTTAAAAAATAAATAAATCGGCTATCGGCTTCGGGCTTCGTCTGGTCTGGCACACTTCGCTGTACGACGTGCGAGTTGAGTGAACGAATCGGAGAACCCGTCGAACGAGCTGATGAAAGGAATGGGTACAGCACGAGCCAACGACTGCTGAAGACGAACCGAGCCTATTCACCCCGAACTCTGGGAATTTCTTTAACCATCCAAACATGCGCCCAAATTACTCAAAGCCTCTAAAACACTCCAAACCTCCAAACTCTATCTAAATTGCGTATAATATCAGGCGTCAGTTCCCTGAAATTCCATTCATCGAGTCCGCCTCCCGGGTGGAAGTACATAACGGAGCAGGAGGAGGCACGCTTCGAATCGTAATCGGCTTTAATCAGCAATGTCCGCTTTTGAGCAATGGAACATCGGTCTAAGTAGTTGGAAATATCCACTGGATATTGACATGCAAGCTTTCACTAAACACAAATAATGCAGTGAAGCTAGTGCTTCGTCAGGGCCCCGACCTGAAGACACGAAGATCCTGAACCACCACCCTGCCTCAGAGCTTCAAATGAGGAAAATCTAACCAAGAGGGCAGTAAACTGAGGAATCGAGGAAGGTACATGGAAGAGAAGAACTGGGATCTCGTGGGAAACTACTAAGTAATGGTGTACTACTTGCCGTTGACCATCACCCATAACATCCGAACTTTTTTCTACTTCCCTGGCGGAATAAGTCGAATAGCGCATCTGTGCACTGATCACGAACACGATGAATGAAGGACTCGAAAGCTCGATTTCCACCCTAGTCCACCAGAATGCGGCTGCCATGCAAGAATTAAAACTTGATTTCGAGCTCGCCAAGTACCAATTTCTGGTAACTTCGGAGCGCGTCGAGGCCGGAATGAATAACGTGAAGGAGCGGCTGAAGCTGATGCTTATTCACCAACAACGGATCACCGTGAAGGAGCATTTGGATGTAAGTGTTACGTCCAAGTTTTACGCTATTCCGTTTCGACTGACCGTCATATCATCTACATATGTAGGTTTGTGTGACTGCCGCCTGCTCAAGCTTCTCTTTGCATCGAATACACCGGCTGTATCGCGTATTACTAACGTTGATTTCACTGGAACACATCATATTGACTGAGAATCACTTCTCAATTCAAGATACATGGCTACCTTTGGTCACGGGTGTCGGCGAGATGCTTGCAATCCAGTGAGTTCCCTCCTACGCACGAGTTTTTGTGATATACCTATTTCGCACATTAGGGACATGTCATCCACTCGAAAGAATTCTTCCATCATCGAAACCGAGAGGGTACGAAGATAATTTCTCCTCACGTTGCATGGAACTGATATAAACAAAGGATGAAGGAGATATATGTGACAGGGTACAGGGAGACATGAATCCGAAGCCTGGTACGTCGCTCAAACCAACTTGCACATGCTCATCTTGCTTATGTTGTTTCAGAATCCTTGACTGGAGCGCAATCCACTTTTGGGGCTGTGGACAAGAATGAGCTGTTTAAAGCAAACGCTGGGCGTGCCGCCATATCGGGTCACGATGGAAACGTTGGTCCGCCACCTCAATATGATCTCCCACCTCTTCCACCTCCGGTAATGAACTCTGACTGGGGGGATCTACACGTCTCCGGAGCTGTTTCGGTTCGTCGAATCCAAACATCCCCCTTTCACTTATCCGACCAATATTCCCTAGCATCCCAGGATATCCGTCGAAGCCCTTTCCTCGACACCACATGGACTTGTGAGTTTTCAGCTTCAAATCTCCTTTCGCTTGAGGTTACTCCTCTTTTCCTACAGTCAGATATCATGGCTGATATGACTCCCGAGAACACCCTGGACATCATTGAAGCTGACCTTGGCCATTTCGCTCCTTCACCTTCCTTCACTGCTACTGTTATGCTCCCTCCACCTCTCTCAAGTCCACTTTTGGTAACTCCGCCTCTCTCTCTATCTTTCGCGCAAGATTGTTCCCCGTGCGCCGGTCGCACGCCGAGTATTTCGCAAGACTACTTAGTTGACACATCGATTGACCTGATCGAGGCAGAGCTAAAGTCGTCGACGACGTCGGACAATTGTTCGGTTTTCAAATCTTCACCACTACTGCTTTTGTATACTCCCCCTTCGCTACTTGCTTCTTTCAGTGATTTCGACCCTTCAATGACAAGTATTTCTTCCGCTTCTTGTTTGGGTCTCGCTGTCAACCTACCGTCCGAGCATTCAAGATTCTTCGAAGAGCACAATCCTTTGGTCGACCCCGAGTTGTCTGCAAATTGGAACGACTTTGGCTATACACCCTCTCCCGCCAACGGGCTCTCTACGTCGTCGTTCGCTCCCGCTACTACACCTATTGTGCCGGGAGTTTCATCGCCCAGGAAACGCCATCCGAATATTCTTACGAGCAGAATTCTGCGTTCATTTTTCTCATCTTTTACTCCCTCATTGAAGCGTTACATCAAGCATTCTCAGTTCCCTTCTTTCTTCGTTTCACGCTCGGTCGTCAACTGCTTCAAAACTTCTGGTCTTCGTAAGGGTCGATATCGGAATCAAAGAAGAACCCTAATGCCTACATCTACTATTATTGGTGGGAGAGTCAAAGTCCGCAAGATCCAAGTGCTCACTGCTTGGATCCTTACAGAAGATTAGGTCCTCGTCTCGCGAGTTCTTGAAATGGTAAGTTTTGTGGCCCTATTCGAATAAAGTAACTTCTTGTACAATCCTATCCTTATTCATATCTACAATATGTACGCCATCCTTAGATTTGTTCCGTTACGTTCAAAACGCATTTTTTGAATCATGTTCAAGGTAGTAATGGGAGGTTGGGCTTTCATTAAGCTTATGTAATTAATAATTGCCCCGCTGACGTGTTAGATAACAACTCGACCACTTTACTGTCTCAATTCCGGAGTCATCATCAAGGTCCCCTATTCTGTTCAAGGTTGGGGGAAACTGGAACCTCGAGGACCCTTTTATCATGTTCAACTCAATGGCTATTCTGTTTTAGACATGATGCCATTTGTACTCTGTCTGAAAATGACGGTCGATGGAACTTGCAGAAGAACATTTATAGGTGAAGTATGCACGGTCCCGCAAAAATGTATTTCTTACGAGGGACACACTTCGCATGTGCGGAAGAGTGTAACCACTCTTCAAGTTTCCCAGAAACTTGAACAACGGTCCAGATCTTTATGACGCAGCATGTCTCAGTACGTCTTGAACTGAGTCTCTTCAAACTTCCACCCAGTTCTCATTATTACACCCCTGAGGCTTGATCTTCTGCTCACTCCTGAATATTCCTGAATCACTCCTTTCTTCTGGACAGCAATGTATATAACAGGAACGTGCTCCCAAGTATTTTATCCGCTAAAATGTACTTCAGCGACTACTCCTCGTCTCCTTCAATTTATTCTGCGGGTCCCGATTCAGAATCGATATCAATATCTTCTACGCGATATTCCCCCGCCCCATCATTCTGTGCGCCAGAGGATGGATTGGCTCAGCTCGAGGATTATGCACCTTCAAAGGAGATCATTAGTAGGTATCTCGAGCCTGCTTACTAGAACCAATTTCACTGATCCTTCTTCTATTCAGAATACGTCGTAGAATGCATAGTGGATGCTGTTGAGTGTCCCACAAATGCATCGAAGACGTTCAAAAACAAAAGACGAATTTCTCGTTTCGCCCACTTCACGGTGTTCGTGACGAACGTCGTCGCTAGCCTTCCTCTGACAACACCTGAACTTCTCTTAACTGTTGCCTATGTGGATAGAGCACAATACCGGAATAATACAGAGCCGTTCACGTCTTGCGACACTACCGAACGTACATTACACCGGATATTTCTCGGCGCTTTGGCGCTTGCACTAAGAGTATGTATCATTTTGACAAAGCATAAAAGGCTGTTATTAATACTCTTGTGTCGCGTAGTACCTCGACAAACGCATCTCCATCAAAGATATTGACTGGCAATCTTGCACTCGGCAATTTTCCCGTGCAGATGTTGGCCGTTTCGAGCTGGATTTCATTCAAATTATCAAGTGCAATGACAAATTCACCGACAAAGAACTGTCTGCTTACAGCGCCGTTATGCTCGCCGTCCTTGAATCTGCGCCGAATCATTCTTTGAAATTGCGGGATTCTAGTAAAAATACTGCAAAATCGCCTTTGCGTAGGTGCCTACGATTCTTCCGCAATCATTCGCGGTTGATACGCAAACCAATTCCTGGACATGTCTGAAACTCATACCCCTTCGGTTCAGCAATATGTTGTTCTTTTAATTGCGCCGGTGCACAAACAGATGCATCTGAAACCACCCATTCTCCAGAAATGATAACTGAAATCTAGTCGATGTCATGTATCTTCACATATATATGTCTTTTGCCCTTAGGCGCGTGTCAAATTGTTGTATGCTGAGCTTGGAAAGTCTTAATCCTGCTCAATTCTTCATGTCGGCGTAATCACTCGGTAAAATAATAAATAATCAAAACAACTCGATTTATAAACATATGTACTATTCAACGGTTCTTTTCCTCTTTCACAATGTCAACGGCAGTTCGAAATAATCAAATTTTGTCTGAAAGTATGTTCCCCCTGTCTGAATTAATTCTGCGATATATTTGTATTCCCTATGTACTTACAAAATTCATACAGCGAACCGTCAATAAATTTAATAACTTCTTCGAAAGCACCTTTCCTGGAGGATAACGACGGGGATCGAAGAAACTTTCCCCGTATACAAATCAGAAACAAACTACAATGATAACACAAAGAATAAAGGGATTACAATGTGAGTTGATTTGACAGCTTATCATAGTATGTATGAGGAAACAACTTCTCTAATTGCTCCAGCGTCTACTTGCTTACGGATTCGTTCTGCATTAGCAGTGGGACAACATGGCCGAGGTTGGTGTTAGTTATTGGGAATCCTGGGTCGATCGTAGTTGATCCGTAGTCACAAAAATCGTAAAAAGGAAAAGAGGAAAAGATCAGTCAGTGGTATTAATTAAGTATATGGTATAGCGGACAATAATGACTACAAATAGAAGGAGTCAAGAGACCGAGGGTGGATGAGAGCGAATAAGACTGGTTTACATAACCAATCGGCTTCGGGGGAGGACTCAGTCGCTTCGGCCCGCTTCTCTGAAGGGAATTTCCCTCTTTCTTTCCGACCACCTTCGACGAACATCTCACAGATTCCTGGTTAGCATTTTGTATGCAATATATGTTTTCTCAAGAAATATGAATTAACTTACAGCGCGTGACAACGACCACTCAAACACAGCTCTTCTGTAAGTTTATGAATCTGATTCCGTTCACTCTAATCATGATCTGTTCTTTTACTTCCAGCCATGGAATCAGATTCGACTGCTCATCGCAAATTCAACTTCCCTCCATTTCCCTCTGCACCGGAGCATGTTACCATAGTTCCTTTCAGAGACTTCAAAGATAATGGTCTCAAAATCCAAGAAGATGACTACGATGGACCAGAGGTAGATGCTCTCAATATCCCTACTGTAGTCATCGAAAAAAGACATGCTGGGGATGTTTGCAAAACGAGGTCCGAACGAACGATGAGTGTAGTGGCTCCCCAAGGAGGTAGTCAGAATGAGGCCCAAAGTTCCGAGTTGCCTCAGCAAAGGACATGGCTACATCGATGGGAAGATCTAAGCACCAGAAAGAGTTGTGAAAGATACAATCGGTGAGCGGTTACACCTCATTTTCCATTTTACGCGAGAACCTATATTGATCGTATCTCCAGAAATCAAAATCGTGCAGATAGAATTCATCAGGCGACACGCGTTTTCAACACCGGCCGTCCCTGGCCCAAGACAGACAAACACGTCAGAGAACAATGGGATCAAGTAGGTGGTCCTTCATCACATCGCTGTTCTTTGTCTTAATCCCCACAGTTTCAATTATATATAGGAATATTGAATATCATGCCTATCTGGAAACCGATACAGGATTCTATAGAGCTGGAAGATGACGCGGATGTTGAAGATGATTTCGATGATGACGAAGATTTGTTCTCACCGGACCCCAAAGAAATTACGAGAAGAGTCGAGATGAGTACCGAACGCGGAGAACGATCTTCTTACCAGAAGAAGAACCCTCGACCTCGACCGCCCTACGAGAATTATGACAAGCCTCCTGTTGCGGTTAAAAGTCAGCAGGAGATTGATCAGCTTCTACAAGAGTCTCGCGAGCGTAAAGCGGATCGATTGAATGAGTTTTTGAATAACCCCAAAGAACGCGTCCAAGTGTACCTATCGAGTTATATGAGAAAGCAAGGATTGCATTAGTATGTGAAGCTGTCCATTGTCTATTGTCTTTTTGTAACTGGTTCATCTTCATCTTAGTGTGGACCGCAACCTAACCCTTATTCCTTTGCTTATCCGTTTCTACATCAACTTTCTCGTCAAGGAGGAAGTTTTCAGCGTTGAATCCGAACCCGAACTTATAGCCTCTCTCCATGAAGCACTGATTATCATCAATCTCGCCGAATTCGAACTTCCACTCACTTCTCAGATAACTAAAAGTCTTCCGTGGAACGATGTATTTAGTGGAGGATGTGAGGAGTTGTTTGATGTAAGGAGCAAGGAACAGGAAATGTCAGCTTTAGAGTGGGCTCAAAGAAATCAGGGACTATTCTCGGATGTTGAAAGTGGGGAAAATGGTGTCAGTTCGACGGCGGCTGCGACAGTTGCATCTACTCCACCTGCTGAAGAAGCCAAGGAACTTGAGCTGGAAGTAGATATTGATATTGTTACTCCGACAACGGAGCAAAACTCAGATGATGTGCTCGAAACGCCTACCCAACAGAGTGAGTCTAAAATACCTAAAGTGAACACTTCCGAAACTGACATTCACAGAAAATGACGCACCATCTCCTGTCACTACCTCCTCTTCGAGTCCCTGGGGCTCGGATGAAGGTACCGCTATGGACAACTCCGAACCCCCTGCGAATACATTCGGTTCATGGAACACAGATCTCGACAAGGCTGACCCTTCCGCGGCTGGCTGGGGAGGAATGGAACTTGACGACATCACGGAAAACCTTTGGGGCGGAGACGATGCAGACACATGGGAGATCCCTCCCCCTCCCACACTCTTTCCCATTCTTGGACCTACAGCGCTTCCACTTACACATACGAGTGGTATTGTGGAATGGAGTATGCGTCGAATCCGATATGTTGTTAATCCTGGGGATGATAATGATAGCTCCGCTGCTAATGTCATTGCGTCGAAATTTCCAAGCGATGGTCCTTCAGCGGATGCTGTGGAATCCGATTTCTCTTCCCGCTTGAGTAAGGTCGTGATGGAACCCTGGCTCGATTGGGAGACTTCTGGAGAAGAGGGTGATACGGCGTCCCCTCAGATCAAAGGCACCTCCAGAGGAAGTGTTAAGGTGTACGAAGAGGGTCAGGGTGTGATGTATGAATATGACTCTGATGTACGGTCGAACGCTTTCGCCGCTGCCCCATCTCCCAATGGCACTTCCCTTCCTGCTCATGACCCCCTCAAGCACACGATCACTCTCCTTGTTGCGCCAGAGACCGCTAAGCTCTTAAGGGTCGGCATGGGTTTAGGTGCTACATGGGTGCAGATTGCGCGCCAGACGGATTTGAGGAATGAGCAAGAGGTGAGGGAGACAGAGATCGAAGGCAGTGGGGGTGAAAGTATAAGTTCTCCAGATGGTTCAGGTGACTCTGATATTCATGGAAGATTTTGGTATCTTTCTAATTTGTTGATTGTCCTTCCGAGCTTTCACATTGTATAAGCTGCCTGTGCAAGTTTCGGAGATCTTGTTTAGTTGTCATTTGATACAATTTACATACTGTACTTTTGCCCGCAGATGATACTTCTTGAAGTGAAGAATTTCTTCCATCGCTCACTACAAAATTCAGCAGAAATCCTGATCAGTCTTTTCATTGCTGTTCAAGTTGGGTCCCGACTCGGATTGTTGGACTAGTACTTCGTATGCTCAGCTTTATTCTGTGCAACTATTCTTTCCGGCCACCGAATTCGACTTACTCCCATTGACTCTCGATCACCTTATATACTCAATACATAACTTTATACTCCCTCAGTTGTTTCTCTTATTAACTGAGGTGAGATTACTAATTTTTCTTTCTTCTAGCTTTACTAAAGTACCATAGAAGTGGCCACATTACCTGAACTGCTGACTCAAGGAACCTCGTTATTCCTGGGCAATAAATGTTCCTGCACAAGGAAACAAAATGTCCATCAGAATTAGGGAGCTCCCTATTCTGGTCTGATTGCCCCGAAGAAGCTCCAATACCCCTTCTGGTTCACAGTGAACCATATACAAGGTTCCCCAATTATTTGTGACCAGTCTATGACAGAATTCCAAGCCTCTTTTTAGATTAAATCCGAAAAGTTCCTCCAACAGCATCAGAGTATCTGTTAAGATCATGTACACCGTGTAACCGTGCCAGAGGCCACAAGGTGTCTAAGTGCGGAGGGTCGAATGGGACAGTAGTGAAGTTATTAACAACACCGCCATTACACCATTAGTCCCCAGAGATTGAGAACAGAGAAGGGGAGAACTAGTAGCAGCCAAGTCGGAGTGGCAGTAACGCCGATGACAGGGAGCAAACCAAAGAACTTATAAGTCCCAAGGTTAGCGTAAGAAAGGCTTCGAGGCGACGAGCCTGAAGACTTAGAGACAAGAGAGGACAAACTAAGTCAAAGAAGGTAATCTTGGTTGGAGAGAAGAATCTAAGTTGATAATTAAACTGAGGAACTACAGTAGCATACAGGCAGTATTTATATTTACAGATTGGCATATTGGGGCGGAACGCCAGACTAACTACTAGGAGCTATACGTGTAGTACCTACAGGGTAGAAAATAAGACAATAAGAAGGAACTAGGATGAAAGGGTTTGTGTAGCAAGAAAGAACAATTAGAAGAGGATTACAATAAAGAGTAGATCTTGGGGTACCGAGTGGCGGAGTGAAGCACTGAGGCATGGACTTGACAGTATCCCCCTCTCAGGCTTGAGCCCTTGAAAGCTGTTAGCACCGGGAATTACTATTAGTCATCAGAGAAAATTTCCGGTTTCCCATAGACCAAACACAATTCGAAAGAAAATTTTATCTGGTCCGTGCGCCATTTTGTCCCTATAAGAAGGTGTCAAGTCCATGCCTCGGGGCCCTATTCCGCCGCTCGGTATTTCGAAGATCTACCATTTATTGTAATCTCTTTCTTATTGTTCTTTCTCGCTACACATACCCTTTCATTCTAGTCTCTCCTTATTGTCTTTTACTTTACCCTGCAGGTACTACACGTATAGCTCCTAGTAGTTAGTCTGGCACTCCGCACCAATGTGCCGATCCGTAGATATAAATACTGCCTGTACGCTACTGGAGTTCCTCAGTTTAATTATGGACTTAGATTCCCTTTCCAACTTAGTCCATCTCTTAAGGCTTCAGGCTCATTACCTCAAAGCACTCTCTACTATAACCTTAGACTTATAAGTTCTCTGGTTTGCTCCTTGTCACCGGCGATATCGCTGCTCCGACTTGGCTGCTTCTAGTTTCTCTCTTCACTACTCCTGATCTCCGGGGACTAGCAGCGTAATGGCAGTGTTGTTAATAACTTCACTACTGTCCCACTCGACCCTCCGCTCTTAGACACCTTGTGGCCTCTGGCACGGTTACACAGTGTACATGATCTTAACAGTATAATTAAATTCAATCCGTTAACGTCGTACTGACATATCATTTTTTATGCCTCCGAAGACCCGAGCTCAATCTAGAGCTAATTCCACTTTCTTCACTACAGCCCAATCCTTCGCCCCTTTCTCTGAATCTATCTCTGCCATCGGTCAACCACGTTGCCGTAATCGCAGTTTCAGTCCAGCCACTGTTCCTACTATGTCAACTCTTCCTGAAGCCATGGAAGAAGATCAACAATTCGAGTACAGCACTTTGTATACCGGTGATGGACAACCTGTCTAAGTCTTGACCCCTTGCCATGGACAACCCCCATGGTCGCTCCAGCTCAGGGCCGGTCTATTACTTGAATCAATTCTCCTATTCTCCAAGCCATAGCTTGCCGTACTGGGAAACAACCTCAACGTCGTTGACATGCCCAAATTTTGGCTAGACGTCTATGCTGTGAATTGTGACATTTTCACACATAGATTCGTATCAAGAGGACTGTAATTGAGACCCAGATTGACAGTCAAAGTCAATACTGAATCAGTCTAATAAGTTGAAGGGACCCTATACCCATACTACCACCAGTTGCTTACCCATCCCTGATACTACCTTTGGATAAAAGTCTACCTGTTGGTCAAGCAGGATTATACCAGACTCGGACTACATCCGAAGGATGACCATTCACGTATGACATACCAAGGGTATTCTTATTAGACCTTCCACTGGCAGGAGTTTGGAAGAACTTACTCAAGTGACCATGAGCCGAGGATTGACTCAAAATGACTTTCTAGAACTCAGGAATTATTAAAATACTCCTTCTAGAACAAGATCATGCATTAATCTAAAAGACTGCGATTTAGTCTAATAGACCAATCAGGTTGCATGGCTGAGGAAAATGACTAGAAGAACGATCGAAGTACTGCGAGGCTCCGAAGACATATCAAATGAATGTCAAGGAGTCCTGACATAGAAAATATTGAAGCATGCAATTAAATGAATACTATGTGTAACTCCCTTGATAGAGTATAGGCACAATGGGTGTCTGTTGAAAGAGAGAAGCAATTAGTTTAATCCAGATGAATCAGATTGATAGGATTAGAATCAAGGAGAGCAGATTTGCCTCCGGACAAGGGGACAAACAATCAAAGTAAGGTCCACACAGCAATGACAGCTGAACACCATTCGAGTCATTCTCCAAAACAATTAAATTAAATGAATATTGAAGTACCTACCTATGTTTGGAGGTATACTAGAATCTTGGAACCATTATGGACCAAATAAGGACATGTAGATTCAAATTAAATGGTATCTGACTGAGTGTAGAGGTTTCCTTGCGGTTCCGAACATTTATTGTATTAAATTAATTGTACTGTGCGGCTCTATATCCTGTAGGTATAAATAGCAATCCGATGTATCTGGAATACAAGTGATTTTGGGACGACGTTGCAGTGCTAATCCGTAAAAAGGAAAGACACACTCCCGCCAGACTGAAACCTCTTCGCTAGCAGCCATTTGGGCCCGGCACTTGAAGGGCAAATCACGCTGTGTGGTTGTGCCAGCACATAGTTCTAGCCCTCTGTAGGGGTCTGTGTGGTTCGGTTTTCATTTACTTTGATTCAAAATCCCCAATTCTTGATATACCCATATCAATACAATCAAAGCACAAATCGTGCTAATCTACCTTAATCAAAGGAATATATTGAACCCTTAGAACGATTCAAATTGATTGATCAAGGCTTCTTACCTAGCTCTCAAAGCTTTGCAGAACCTTGGACAACGCTACCGCTTGCTATTAAATAACTTTGATAGCAGAGAACTCGCTTATTGTGTATTAGATTGGTTGGTTGGAGTGCACATTTGATTCCTTCCTTTCTCTTTCACACAAAAACGAGGCAAGCTCGTTACTGGATCTCCTCTTCGCATCCGATTGGTGGTTCCCGCTGGTCAACCAGCTGCCGCTTCCTTGGATGCTTCTTGTGCCAACTCCGCAGGAGCCCCAGGGAGCCCGCCATACCTTCCCATCCTACCCAAGAGTTGAATTCTTCACTATAACCCTCCCATTTCACCAGATATTCCACTTCCTCCAGTCATCCCTTCTTGGGTTTGGAGTTAAGGATGTCCTCAACAAAGTGCTCCATTTCTCCTTTTATGAAGATTGGGGGAGGTGGGGAGGTCTGTTGTCTGAATTTGTTGTGGAAGTGAGGTTTCAGTTGGTCTACACGGAACACATTGTGAATTTTGTGGAGGTCCCCAGGGAGGTCCAATCGGTAAGCATAACTCCCCACTTTCAACAAGATTGAATAGGGGCCCGTCCACTTGTGATCTAGTTTCTTCATAAGTCGTCTCGTCCTGATGTTTTCCATATTCAACCAGACGTGATCACCTTCCTTCCAGTCCGGGGCCTCCTGACGTTTTTGGTTTGCGTACTTCACATAGGTCTCGTTGGCTACCCGAATTCGTTCCTGGAGGTAAACATGTAACTCTTTGAGGTTGGACGCATATTCATTGACCTCTGCTCCTTGCACCTGCTCCAGCATAATAGACAGCTTTGGGTGATACCCCTTGTTAGCAAAGAAGGGAGAAACACCTGTCGTGGTATTCGGGGTATTGTTGTAGACGAACTCCGCCAGTGGGAGAAGGAGGTCCCAGTCATTTGGTCGTAGGAGCAATATATCCGGAGGTATGCTTCCACCAACTGGTTTACCCTCTCCGTTTGTCCATCAGTTTGCAGATGATATGCCACGGACAGTCGGGACTCGATTCCTAATGTTCCACACAGCTCCCTCCAAAATTGAGACACAAACAGGGAACCCCGGTCGGAAGTTATATCGGAGGGCATCCTGTGCTTTGAGAAGACATGCGTTTACCCTCTCTGTTTGTCTGTCGGTTTGCAGATGATACGCCATGGACAGTCGGGACTCAATTCCTAATGTTCCACACAGCTCCCTCCAAAATTGAGACACAAACAGGGAACCCCGGTCGGAAGTTATATCGGAGGGCATCCTGTGCTTTGAGAAGACATGCGTTATAAACAGATTGGCAAAGTCTTCCGCGTTATCCGTCCTATGACAAGGGACATATATGGCCTGTTTGGTGAGTTGCCAGACTATTACAAGGATGGCATCGTATTTCTCCGGACCTCTCGTGACTGGGAGCTGGGTGATACAGTCTAGGGAGATTGAGGACCAAGGTCGTTGACCAATTGGTAGTGGGCGGAGGTTCCCGTAGGGCTTGGAGTGACTGGCTTTGGCTCTCAGACATGGGTGGTAGCTCTGTACATAGTAGTTCACGTCTTTGGACAGCCCTTTCCAAAAGAATAGCTGGTTTACTAGCTTCTTGGTGCGTTTCTCCCCCGGGTGTCCCCTCAGTTTATGGTCGTGGTATGACTGCAGAACTTCCCTTCATAGAGTCCCCATGTCTGGGACATATATGCGGCCTCCTCTTTTTATCACCCCATCCTCCCAAACGAGAGATTCCTCT